GGCTTTTTTTTTTACTTTTAAAAGCATTTTTTCGGACAAAGAGGTTGTAGAAAAAATGCTTTTAAAAATAAAAAAAAAAGCCTCTGATGATTGCGTGGCTCAGCTGGGCAATGGTGGGGGGGGGCAGGGATTTTTGCTACCAGTTCTCTGAATCACCCGCCTCCATCGCTACCAGATTGGGCGATCCGGTCCGAACCGGGAGCATTTCACCCCTGATGCTAAACTGGTTGTAAGTTGAGAACTTTACCTTTATGTGGCTGGCCAGAACTTCAATGAGATGTTTATGTTTGCATCTCAAATCCCTATTCAACATACAATTGCAGGAGACCATGGAAAAATTAAGCAGTTGGAGTTAGACTGAGGTGTAGAGTTAGGTTCACAGATCACGCCACATCCTAGTCCCGTGATGGCAAACCTATGGCATGCGTGGCAGAGGTGGCACGCAGAGCCCTCTCTCCTGGCACATGTCCTGTTGCCCCAGCTCAGATCTCCATGGCGTTTCTTTCGTGAGCTTCTGTTTCCCTGCAAACAACGAAACAGAAGCTCACGAAAGAAAAAGATCTTACCTCTTGCTGTGCTGCCGGTGTTGGGATGCCCCTCTTTCCACCAGCCAGCTGGTTTTCAGGACTCTGCTGCTCAGAAGCACACAGATGTCTGTGCATACATGTGTGCATGTTCACTTGTGCATGCCCACCTTTCAGTTTGGGCATGAACGTGCGCAGTTTGGGCACTCAGTGCCTAAAAGGTTCGCCATCACTGTCCTAATCCGAGTTCACACACTTTTCTAACCATGCACAAGATTCTTAGCACCTGATTTGAGGTCTGTATCATAGACCTCAATTTGGTGCAGACAACACTTGCCACAGACAATTCACAGACAATTTGGCGCGGACAACTTTCAGCAGGACAACTCGCCATGGCAAACTCTCTGCAGGACAAGAGTTACCCTAATATTGAAGAAATAGAAAATAGAATCAATATAAATAGTGGAATAGAATCATGAAAGACAGGATGCCAAAGGAGGGACAAAATGAAATGTGAATGGCAAAAATTAAAATAATTTTTGGATTATTTCAAATAATTAAACTGAATTGTTGAATTGTTCTCCAGCAAAGTTGTCCCATGGCAAGTTGGCCATGGCATGTTGTTCCACAATGAGTTGGCCATGCGAAGTTGATTCTGGCCAGTTGTCTTGAAAGTTGTCCCATTCTACCTGATCTGAGCCCAGCCGATGTATCTTGCAAACTGTGCTTTATGACATAGGACAGGAATATGCAATCTCTCACTCTCAGGCCAGAGGTGGGTTTCAGCAGGTTCTGACCAGTTCTGGTGAACCAGTAGCGGAAATTTTGAGTAGTTTGGAGAACCGGTAAATACCACCTCTGACTGGCCCCGCCCCCATCTATTCTCTGCCTCCCAAGTCCCAGCTGATCGGGAGGAAATGGGGATTTTGCAGTAATCTTCCCCTGGATTGGGGTGGAAATGGACATATTTATTTATTTATTTATTTATTTATTTATTTATTTATTTATTTATTTATTTATTTATATTTAAATTTATATACCGCCCTTCTCCCGAAGGACTCAGGGCGGTGAACAGCCAAAGGTAAAAAACATAGAATACAAAAATTTAAAAGCAATTTAAAATATATTAAACAATTTGGCCCAACAATTAAAATACCCCATTTAAAATTAAAATTAAAATTAAACAATTGGAGAAGTTAGGCCAGACCAGCTTGTTGAAATAAAAAAGTCTTGAGGGCCTGGCGGAAAGTACGTAAATCCGGAATCCTCCGTATCTCCGGGGGGAGCTCGTTCCAGAGGGCAAGTGCTCCCACAGAGAAAGTTCTCCCCCTGGGGGCCATCGGTCAACATTGTTTGACCGACGGCACCCCGAGGAGCCCCTCTCTGTGGGAGCGTACTGGCCGGTGGGAGGCTCTCGGTGGCAGAAGGCGGTTTCGTAGATATCCAGGTCCTAAGCCATGGAGCACTTTAAAGGTGGTCACCAACACCTTGAATTGCACCCGGAGGACCACCAGAAGCCAGTGCAGCTCACGCAGGAGACGTGTTACATGGGAGCGCCATGACGCTCCCATAATCACCCGCGCGGCCGCATTCTGGACCAGTTGGAGCCGCCGGGTGCTCTTCAAGGGGAGCCCCATTTTACAGTATCCTTCCCCTGCCACACCCACCAAGCCACACCCACAGAACTGATAGTAAAAAATGTTGAAACCCACCACTGCCTCAGGCCACATGTGATCCTGGACAGCTAGTAATGTGGCCCCACAAGATATAATTACAGATTAAAAAATAAAAGAAATTTGTTATTTATATACATTAATTATATCATATATTTTGTATGTGGCCCAAGACAATTCATCTTCACTCAATGCAGCCCACGCAAACCAAAAGATTGGACATCCGTGACTCAGTGTATTACGTATATCCAGAAAATTGCAGTTTGTTCAGCTAACTATGCTTGAACAAACCATGACCCAGTTGCTTGGCTCAGTTTATGAGCTAAATTTCTTTTTGGCAGGTTAAATCAACCACAGCTTAATAAAATATGTGAAGCAATCTATAAAAGAATATTATGTTGCTTTCATCCATGAACAGCTTAGAAGCAGCCCATATTGGACGCTCAATAAAATAATTGTGATAATACTAATGTTGTCACTTGACAATTCCAATTGAGTCAAGTGGCAGTGAGTGGGCATGAGGTCAAATTTATTGAGTAAACATTCTCTTACCTGGAATAGGTTTCATTGTTTCCCCTCTATGATTTCTTCAGAAACCAAGATTTGACAGGCAAATTACGATAATGACGGGCAGAGTGCCAGTTGGGCAAAGTTGCCAAGGAGTTAGCTAGCTGGAATGGCCAATACCAGACACCAATAATGAGTAAAAAAAAAACTCTTCACAAGAAAGGGATCGGAGAAACTCAAAACGTTTATCAGAATAACAGAGTTGGAAGGGATCTTGTAGATCATCTAGTCCAATCACACACATATGCACACATGGCCAAGCAGGAGACTCTACACTATTTCTGATAGACAGCAGTCCAATATTTTTGCCCCCCCAAATATTAACTGAGAACATTCCTCAGGAGTAGAGTAGAGTAGAGTAGAGTAGAGTAGAGTAGAGTAGAGTAGAATAGAATATGGAGTGGAGTGGAGTGGAGTGGAGTGGAGTGGAGTGGAGTGGAGTGAACGGAACGGAACGGAACAGAACAGAACAGAACAGAACAGAACAGAATAGAATAGATAGAATAGATAGAATAGAATATGGAATGGAGCAGAGCAGAGCAGAGCAGAGCAGAACAGAACAGAACAGAACAGAACAGAATAGAATAGAATAGAATAGAATAGAATAGATAGAATAGAATATGGAATGGAGCAGAGCAGAACAGAGCAGAGCAGAGCAGAGCAGAGCAGAACAGAACAGAACAGAACAGAACAGAACAGAACAGAACAGAATAGAATAGAATGAATAGAATAGAATAGAATAGAATAGAATAGAATAGATAGAATAGAATATGGAATGGAGCAGAGCAGAGCAGAGCAGAGCAGAGCAGAGCAGAGCAGAACAGAACAGAACAGAATAGAACAGAATAGAACAGAAACAGAACAGAATAGAATAGAATAGAATAGAATAGAATAGAATAGAATTTTTTATTGGTCAAGTATGATTGGACACATAAGGAACTGTGTACATAAGTTCTCAGTGTACTTATAAAAACAACAGAGTAATAATAATCATAATACCAAAGTAATAATAATCATAATAATGATACGATTAAGAGAAGGCTGTGGAACAGATGAGAAAGATAAAAGTAAAGCATAAAAAAGTAATTAAATCCCAAGCAAGACAAGGTTAAAAGACTTGGAACGGATCCTGAAACACAGGAAAATCCAAGACATAATTTAAAAGCAAAGAGGTTGCTATGTAAGAAATGGCCTTTGTCAGGGGAACGTAGAAGAGGCATTAGTATACCGTGAAGTATGAAGAAGGAGGAGCAGAAAGTAGAGGAAATGTCATTCAAGATGGGGCTGGAAACAGTGGGCAGGCATGTGTCACCCAGTTCTGACTTAGAGATGGGAGAAGCTGCCTGCTGGGATGAATTAGAGGAAGCAGGCTGACCGTTGACGGGCGTAACCCAGAGAGTGGGATGAAATCAGTAATGGCCAGAAGAACAGGGCCAAGAGGAAAGAGTGGGTGGCGAAGGAGGAAAAGGCAAGAAAGAGGAAGTGAGACAGAAGCAAACTTAGATCTAAGCATGGGGGGACAGAGAAGTCCACATAACCATGATGCTGGCTGGCTCCATAAAAATCACCCCCACCTATATTAACACACACGCCCATCTTGGAATTATTCAACCTTTTGAAATTTTATAATGTTGTTTTTATAATTGTAAAACTTTTAAACCTGGTTTTTAATGTTGTCTTTATTGATTTTATTGTACATCACCCAGAACCTCTCTCTGAGGGTGATGGGCAGCATTAAGAAATACAATGGATGGATGGATGGATGGATGGACAGACAGACAGACAGATGCCTCAATCTAAAATTCTGATGTAACTACAGAGGACTTCTTACAATATGTGTTGATTTTACTTTGGAAATCTACAGAGATATCCATGTTAGGAGAATCTCAGAAACCTCCCAGGTCCTATATGAACTTTAGGTAGGACTCGTAAGAGGACACCCATAGTTTATAGTGGCAAAAAAAAAAAAAGAATAAGAGAGTTTGCTAACACCTTTATCAACTTAATGAAGTTTATTAAAAGGAATAATGTGAGCTTCAACTGACTTCATCAGATAGATGTGATAAGTTAAAAAGGAATTGCATTACGGGCAGGCAAAACAAAAAACGAAAAATCCCACTAGATAAGAATAGCCAACCATGTCTTTCAACTGCCCTTAATGTTTTGTGATTCTCCAAAGAATTCTCCTAAGAATTTTAAGCCATCCAATTTTGAGCTTTATGTTTTTCATCACCAGCCTTCTCCAAACTGGTGCCTTCCAGTTTTACTGGACTCTACCAGGCTATGCAAATTTGGGGAGGCTGAAGCCGATGACTAATAGGTAAGATGGATGGATGGATGGATGGATGGATGGATGGATGGATGGATGGATGGATGGGTGGGTGGGTGGGTGAAAGGATGGATGGATGGATGGGTGGGTGGGTGGATAGATATGTGCCATCAAGCTGTCAACAATCACATAGATTTTTTTTCTGTGATCCCTAATCCAGTCTTCCAGGTCTTCTTTGCATTCTCTGTCTATGTGCTTTCTTTAGTAAAAATACACGGGTGGTTTACCATTCTTCCCCTGGACAGTATGAATCAGTGGTAGAATTCAAATTTTTTTACTACCGGTTCTGTGGGCGTGGCTTGGTGGGCATGGCATGACTTTGTGGGTGTGGCTTTGTGGGTGTGGCAGGGGAAGGATACTGTAAAATCTCCATTCCCACCCCACTCCAGGGGAAGGATACTATAAAATCTCCATTCCCACCCCATTCCAGGGGAAGGATACTGTAAAATCTCCATTCCCGCCCCACTTCAGGAGAAGGATACTGCAAAAGCTCCATTTCCTCCTGATCAGCTGGGACTCGGGAGGCAGAGAACAGATGGGGGTGGGGCCAGTCAGAATTTTTACTACCGGTTCTCCGAACTACTCAAAATTTCTGCTACCGGTTCTCCAGAACCAGTCAGAACCTGCTGAAACCCACCTTTGATATGAATTGATGGCTTTGCCATTGTCCCTAAAGTAATCACCCACCTCCAGCATCTTCCTATGTTGCTGCTGCCCAATATAGACACCTGCTTCCTGGGCAGATGGGATGACCTTCACACCTTGGATGACCCTGCTGGGAATGTCTGCTCCTGACATACACTTACACCATTCTTTGCTTATCCCTGCCAGGCACACCAACATCACCTACCTACCACCCTACCATAATGGGGCAGCAGAGCAGGACTTGGGAGGAGTACGTGAGGCCAGAGCAAAACTCAAATCTGACTGCAGTTTCTTCACAAACTTATTGTACATTTTTCTCTTTGCCCAATGGGCAACAACTTATAAAAAGATTGAGAACCACACATTTGTCTCATCCTGAATGATCATTGATCATGGATGGGGAAGCCTGATGCAAGTTCTCAACTAGGCTCTCCTACATTGTAGATAGTTTTTAGACCTATTTTGTTATGTTTGGGAGAAAAATTAGAACCATATTTTTTGGCCCTATTTTGTCTGACCTGATTATGGTCAGCTGTCTTTGAATGAGTTAAGGGGACATTATTTTTTTTAAAAAAATAGGTGGGTGGCAGTCAGGAAAGCAATCACATCCTTTCATTCTTTACCCGAGCATCCAGAGAGCAGTCAATTAGACTAGTGTTTCTCAACCTTGGCAACTTTAAGACATTTGGACTTCAACTTCCAACATTCCCAGTCAGCAAGGTTGAGGACCACTGAGTTAAACTCTTGGTAGGCAATATGTCCATGCTGTGCTTTTGGGCTGAACGGGGAAACAGGGTGTATCAAGTCAAAACGTTCCCCAACTATGATCTTGGAAACTGCTTAACTCCTATAAATTATTTCAAGGATATGCCGGGAAACCACTAAGCTGTGAGTCAACTAAACATAATAACTGAATAATGAGTTATCTCCAGGCCCAGTGAATAAATATTGTGACACTGACATTTTCAGCCAGAGCAAACTATCTGCCTGAAATAAAAGCAGAGAAGAAAAGAGGCTGAGATAATTTCAGAGAATGTGATTTGTTTGTAGGCTGCTTGGTTTGGAATAAATGAATACACACACACACACATATACTGTATATATATACATCCACCCAGTGTGAAATCCAAATTTTTTTACTACCGGTTCTGTGGGTGTGGTGTGGCAGGTGTGGCGTGGCTTGGTGGGTGTGGCTTGGTGGGCATGGCAGGAGAAGGATACTGCAAACTCTCCATTCCCACCCCACTCCAGGGGAAGGATACTGCAAAATTCCCATTCCCTCCCCACTCCAGGGAAAGGATATTGCAAAATCTCAATTCCCACCCCACTCCTGGGGCCAGCCAGAGGTGGTATTTGCCGGTTCTCTGAACTACTCAAAATTTCCACTACCAGTTCTCCGAACTGCTCAAAATTTCCACTACCGGTTCTCCAGAACCTGTCAGAATCTGCTGGATTTCACCCCTGCATTCACCTTAAGTAATTCTGGGGATTAACAAACAAGACATAAAAGCCATATTTTAAAAACACTAATATAAAACAATGTGGAATGCAATTTAAAATATTAAGAGGATTGTTCTATTTTGTCAGAAGCGAATGTCAATAATATCATGATGTAGTTAGTATAACAGTGGGATTGTAATTGCAGAAGGGAATAGCATTCCACCTAATTTCAAACCACTTATGGATCATAACTGTCCATAAGTCAGCAAAGGTACCCCACCTTCCATATTTGGTGTACTTGGATGCTGTGAACTAAATAGCCGAAAGGTTTGGGACAGTTTCCCTCTATTTCATATTTTCTGACTGTATTTTGTTTGAACTGACTATAGTAAGTAATATTTGAATGAGTTAAGACATTATTATTATTATTATTATTTTAAAAAAATTGATGGGTGGCAGTCAGAAAAGTAATCACATCCTTGCATTCTAAGCAGTTAAGGATGTGAAAGATAAAGGAAGAAAGAAAACAGAAGATTGGGGGCATCTAGCAAGGAGAAAGGATCCACATGTTTAGAAAAAGCAACAGGTTCTTCAAAGTTCTAGATAAAGTTCTATGAGGTCCTCTAAGGAAAGATGGGGTTATACAGCATTCAGGTTGAGCTAAAAAGAGATATCCTTAACTGGTAGTACATTAATTTTTTTTTTAAAGAGATGGGGTAGTAGGGATGCAGTGGCTCAGTGGCTAAGATGTTGAGCTTGTCGATCAAAAGGTCAGCAGTTCAGCGGTTCGAATCCCTAGTGCCGTGTAACGGGATGAGCTTCCATTACTTGTCCCAGCTTCTGCCAACCTAGCAGTTCGAAAGCACGTAAAAAATGCAAGTAGAAAAACAGGGACCACCTTGGGTGGGAAGGTAACACCATTCCATGTACCTTTGGCATTGAGTCATGCCAGCCAAATGACCATGGAGACGTCTTTGGACAGTGCTGGCTCTTCGGCTTTGAAACGGAGATGAGCACCACCCCCTAGAGTCAGGAACGACTAGCACATATGTGCAAGGGGAAACTTTACCTTTACCTAGTACATTATGGGGAAACCAATAGTTATTTTAACAACTAGCATAAATTATGTTGCACATGAAGCCATCGTTTAGATGATGTGTTTCGGTATTGTATATAATATGAACCCTGCTAGTATGTTGTGCAAACCTGGATTTGGAGCTTAGGATATTATGTGAACCCAACCTACGGGCCATGCAATGATTCTTATCAACGTCTTTCTGTCCTATTGATGCAGAAATGACTTCCACAGTTCATTTTTACAAAATTACCCATTGGTAGAGATCTGGACAGCAGATCATAGGAAACATAACAGAAGTGGAAGGGACCTTGGAGGTCTTCTAGCTAACCCCCTGCTCAAGCAGGAAACCCTACACCATTTCAGACAAATGGTTGTCCAATCTTAAAAACCTCCAGTGTTGGAGCACCCACAACTTCTGGAGGCAAGTCATTCCACTGATTAATTATTCTTACTGTCAGGAAAGTGAAGTGAGGATCTATATGTTGGACCAAACTTAGTGTCAGCACTTCAAGCTTCATTTACTCTAATGCTGACATAAGAAGGAGAAGCGGAGGCGTCTGGAAAGGGATGTTTGACTTTTCACCTACTTATTTTCCCTGGAGATAATATCTCCTAGGAGATGGGATGGGAGGGGGAAAATTCCTTTGAGCTGGAGCAGTAGATTAGGGGTAGAATGACTTGGAAGATGGCCAATGAGTACAGGGGAGTGGGGAACGGAAAGGGAGGGTTTTGGGTCTGGAAGTCAGTGTTGGCTACGATGAGCCAGGATTTAGAATGTTGTGCTCAATAAATGGGAGTTTTTATCAAAGACTTTGTTTGAAATGCAATTTATTTGAGACGACCTCAAAACTTGACACTTAGCATGAGAGACCAACTTGCATCCCCTTTGGTGCCCTCCACCTTTGGTGCCCCAATCAGTGTGAATATACCATTCAACCACATTTTGGTAGGAAGAAAAGCAGAGCATTAGTTTATGCCAGTGATAAAATCCAATTTTTTTTATTACCGGTTCTATGGGCATGGCGTGGTGGGCATGGTGTTGGTTGGTAGGCATGGCAGGGGAAGGATACTGCAAAATCTCCATTCCCTCCCCACTCCAGGGGAAGGATACTGCAAAATCTCCATTCCCATCCCACTCTGGGGCCAGCCAGAAGTATATTTGCCAGTTCTCCAAACTGCTCAAAATTTCTGCTACCAGTTCTCCAGAACCTGTCAGAACCTGCTGGATTTCACCACTGGTTTATGCACGTACTTAAACTATTAAATATCAATTGCCTTTCCTTCCTGCTCTGCTCCACCCACTTTTTTGAGCCCCACCTACTTTCTGTGGTCATATGTACTGCTCTGAGTAACGCCCTCAAGATATTATGTTGGATTGTAAACATTAAAACGTTACCTAACACTTGAACGCTAGGAAACTTGTTTAACTGTATGCTTCTGTTGACTTTCCAGGTGCTCGTGAGCTGGGCCTCCAACTTCTATCGCCATGGACTGGAAGACATTACAGGGCCTGTTGAGTGGAGTGAACAAATACTCCACTGCTTTTGGCCGCATCTGGCTGTCTGTGGTTTTTGTTTTTCGTGTCCTTGTTTACGTGGTAGCTGCTGAGCGGGTGTGGGGTGATGAGCAAAAGGATTTTGACTGCAATCACCGGCAACCTGGTTGCACCAATGTTTGCTATGATCATTTTTTCCCCATCTCCCATATCCGTCTCTGGGCCCTGCAGCTGATTTTTGTCACCTGTCCGTCTCTGCTCGTCATCATGCATGTGGCCTACCGTGAGGACAGAGAAAGGAAGAACCGGGAAAAAAATGGGGAAAACTGTCCCAAACTTTATAGCAACACTGGAAGGAAACATGGTGGCCTTTGGTGGACTTACCTCCTGACACTCTTCTTCAAGCTGGGTATTGAGATCGTCTTCCTCTATCTGCTCCACAGAATTTGGGACAGTTTTGACCTGCCGCGCCTGGTCAAGTGTGATCTGCAACCTTGCCCCAATACGATAGATTGCTACATTGCTCGGCCTACTGAGAAGAAGATTTTCACATACTTCATGGTAGGGGCATCAGCTCTTTGCATTGTCCTCACCGTGTGTGAGATCTTCTACCTCATCTTCAAGAGAATGGTCCGCTCAATGCAGAAATGGAAGAAGAACAAGAAGTCCTTGACCTACAGCAAGGCCTCCACATGTCAGTGCCATTCGAGGATGGAACACGCACATGATGGGAAATTAAAGAATTCCCCCTTAGAAGGCCTCAGAGCTTCTGCGCCCAACCTGACTTTAATCTGAGAGGGAGAAGAAGCAAATCCAAAATGGCCACAAGCCAAGACACATGAATGTTTTTTTTCAAAGATGAACTCGGGAGGGAGAGAGGACTTGAAATGGAAGCCTTCCATTGAATCGCTAACCAAATTTTCCACAAGGGAAGGGCCACAATGTTTGAAGGGGAGCTGACAGAACACTGCCATGTTTATTCAGGTCTAAACTCAAGGCCATATTATAACTAAGCTAAGCATGCACACTTCATATGCTCTGGCAATCTATGTTGGTTTGTTCTCCAAACCCTCCTAGAAAAGTTGTAATCTTCTGCATTCTCAGGTTTATGCTTTCTACTTTTCTAAAGCCTCTCAGAAGATAGACAAGCATCTGCGCACAATATGTTGTGGTCTTTAAAACCTAGGACAGCCAAAATCTATGACCCTTGATTTCTTCAACTGATTTATTTAGTTGTTCGTAGAGTTGTTTATAGAGTATTAGTCACTGAGAAGGAGGGAAGTAAACTAATTAGGGAAATTCAGTAAACATGGATAACTTAACCTAAATGTCCTCCCTTCTCTTGCAAGCCACAGTTCTCTGAAATAACAAATGCCAATGCAATCTACAAAGCAGTCGAGACAAAGCACACTGAAAGGTTGTTTTAGCTGAATTTCCTCTCCTGAGTTTCACCTGGAGGAAATCCACTATGAATTTGGAGTTCATATTTGAGGAATTCCCAGGGAAGCAAAGTCTTGCCAGGCAAATTTTTGCAAGACAGAGGAGAGCGTCTGCTTACACCATTCCTATCCCATTTATACTTTAGCTTCAGTCTTGATGACGGTACCCACTTTTCAATAGAAAGTACTTTAATAAAGCATTGTTTACATGATAATTATTGGCTGGGCAAAAACAAAGATGTTGAGTTAAAAAGGAATGAGACAGTATTTTCTTCTCAAAAGCCTTCTAGACAGAACATGGCCTTCTACTCTCTGGAAAAGACAGAGGTATCCTGACATGAGAAAGCTAAATTTGGTATAGATCAGAGGTCTTCAAACTTGGCAGCTTTAAGACTTGTGGACTTCAACTCCCAGAGCATAACTGGCTGCAGAATTCTGGAGTTGAAGTCCACAAGTCTTAAAGCTGCCAAGTTTGAAGACCTCTGGTATAGATTGAAGGGATGATGAGGGCATAAAAAAGAAGGAAGTACATCCTTGGTTTTTCATCTTCCTGAATTTTCTCCTACTTTTTATTCATTATTTTGATGATACTTTCCCCAATTCTCCACTCTTGGTCTCTCATCCTGTCTGAAACAGAGAAATTCCCACTGAAATCAAGTGTAATGTAACATTTGAAATTCTTCTGGCAGGATCAGTCCAGAGAAAATGGAACATGTCTTAAGAAGAGAAATGCAGGAAAACATTATTCAAAATCAATGTTTATAGCTCAATTTAGCCAAAAGGAACAAATCAAGCAACAGAAGAGATTTTGCTCTTAGCAAAAATATTTAAGCTATTTTGAGACAACTGTGGATCTTATGACTATAGAATCTTATGACTACAGGATTTTTTTGTAAATAGATTTTGAGTCTCCTTAACTGAGTTCCATGTAGACTGTCTTCCATGCAGAGCAAGAATTAAAATCATATTTAAAGTATTTGTTTGGCTGGTGCTTCTGTTGCTGTGGAAAATAAAATCCACCATGGACAAAGTTTAAGCAGGACTGATGACTCATTTTGGATCAGTTAGCAACAGAGAGCAGACATGAGTTCCTTTCTTTTATTAGTTTTTCTTACAGAAGCTTTTATTAACCATGTAAAGTTGATGCAAATTTAAAGAAGAAACACAAGTAAAAGAAAAGTACTAAGTAAAAAGAAAAGAGAATAAAAGGAGAGGAGGGGGGAGGGAAGGAAGGAAGGAAGGAAGGAGGGAGGGAGGGAGGGAGGGAGGGAAGGAAGGAAGGAAGGAAGGAAGGAAGGAAGGAAGGAAGGAAGGAAAATAGAGGGAAAACAGGGAGGGAGGGAGGGAGGAAAACAGGGAGGGAGGGAGGAAAATAGAGAGAGGGAAAACGGAGGGAGGGAGGAAAGGAGGGAGGCAGGAAAGGAGGGAGGGAGGAAGGAGGGAAGGAAGGAAGGGAGGGAGGGAGGGAGGGAGGAAGGATAAAAGGGAGGGATGGAGGGAGGAAAACAGGGAAGGAGGGAGGGAGGGAGGAGTTTCTTCTTTACAGCAGTTTTAAATTCATTTATATTTTATCCTCTCTTGCTAACGTTACATCATAACTTCCTTCTTTCCATAGTCTAATCATCAAAATCATAAATCATAAGTTTTTTTTTCCATTTTCAGCAAGAAGTCCATAAAGTGTTTCCCATCACTAACAAATGTAGCTATTGTCTTTTCCCTAATCAAACAAGTCAATTTTGCCATCTCTGCAAATTTTGTCATCTTCACCGACCATTTTCTCCTTTACAAGAGAACTTGTGTTCCAATTATCTCTGACACTGACCTGATACTTCCAGCTTATCCAACAGAAATAGCAAAGAAGCTGCTGGGAAGATATACAAAACAAAACAAAACAAAATCTTTAGAATGGCAGGTTTGCTCAATTTATCTCTTTAACCTTAAGTTTCTTTCATTTCATTTTTGATGCTGCTGCTGCCGATGATGCTGATGATTCTAGAGAATAATTATTATAAATTTACCACTTATTTCAATCAGCTACATTTTTGCCACCTTGTTTTCACTTGCAAACACTGCCAATCTTTACACTGCATTGGTAAGACCACACTTGGAATATTGCATCCAGTTTTGGTCCCCACAATACAAGAAATATGTTGAGACTCTAGAAAGAATGCAAAGAAGAACGATAAAGATAATTAGGAGACTGGAGGCTAAATTATACACTGAACAGTTGTAGGAACTGGGTATGTCTAATCTAACAAAGAGAAGGACTAGGAGTGACATGATAGCCATCTTCCAATATCTGAGGGGCTGTCACAGAGAAGAAGGAGTCAACATATTCTCCAAAGCACCTGAGGACAGAACAAGAAAGGATCCAACCTAGAATTAAGGAAAAGTTTCTTAAATGACACTGAGAACAATTTAATCAGTGGAACGTCTTGCCTCCAGAAGTTGTGGGTGCATGCCTCCAGAAGTTGTGGAGGTTTTTAAGAAGAGATTGGACAACCATTTTTCCAAAATGGGTAGCTTCTCCTGCTTGAGCAGTATGTTGGAGTAGAAGATCTCCAACTCTGTAATTCTGCATTCTATTCTGTATTCTATTATCATCATAAAAAGGTAAAGGTTCCCCTCGCACATATGTGCTAGTCATTCCCGACTCTAGGGGGCGGTGCTCATCTCCGTTTCAAAGCCGAAGAGCCAGCGCTGTCTGAAGACGTCTCCGTGGTCATGTGGCCGGCATGACTCAACACCAAAGGTGCACAGAATGCTGTTCCCTTCCCACCAAAGGTGGTCCCTATTTTTCTACTTGCATTTTTGAACTGCTTTCGAACTGCTAGGTTGGCAGAAGTGGGGACAATTAACGGGAGCTCACCCTGTTACGCGGCACTAGGGATTCGAACCGCTGAACTGCCGACCTTTCGATCAACAAGCTCAGTTTTAAAGAATATGTTAAGAAATAGATACTACTGATAAAAAGCCGAAATATAAACAGCAAAATACAGGCAGATAGTCAGCAAATGCAAAATATCATGACTAACATATTCCAGGACTCGGTTTGAAAGTTCCTATAGTTTAAGATGCAATGTGTGTAGTCTAGTACATATTGTACTATATCCATTTTTAACCAAAATATATCTTTATCCAACTTTTAAAACATTTGGATAATATAATTGGAGTTATTAAAGAAAGGAAAAAGAAAAACGAATGTGATAAACCATTCATTAAAACAGCACTATAAATTATATACTGATAATATGTCAAATTAGACTATAAACTCTAAAACCCAAATTTTGAATGTGGCACAATTGCGTGGACAAAATCGTAGTGTAAATTTCTGGTTTTCAGACAGAATTGAATTCTCTGCTTTTCAAAATTTCTCCAGCCATCAAAGTCTACGTGGGTAACCATTCTTCCACAGGGAAAAGATCTTCCCCAATTTTTTTTAAAAAAAATAAAATCCTTTTATAACAAAGTCATTAGCTTATACAATGCCAATACAGTATATTTTTAAGAAATGTATGGCCTAGTGAAGTTTAATAAGAAAAAAAAACCTCTCAGGAAATTGGATTCTGAATTTTAAAATTTGTTCCATTTTACAACAGCTTGGTTTCCAGAATTGTTGAGCTTCACAGCATTGCTATCACGTATGGAAAAAGAATACAGTCCATTCGTTATATTTCCAGCATTTAAATATAATAATAATAATAATAATAATAATAATAATAATAATAATAATAATATAATTGGAGCCCTTGGAGCAATACCCAAAGGGCTACCCCGCTATTTAGAAATTCTAAATTTGCCAGACTTGAACATTTTGACTCTACAAAAAACCACCTTACTCGGAACAGCTTACATCCTCCGACGATACCTTAACAGTTCCTAGGTGCTTGGTTAGGACTCGAGCTGCTGAGCTATTAACCGTAATAATAATAATAATAATAATAATAATAATAATAATAATAATAATAGTAGTAATAATAGTAATAATAATAGTAATAATAATAATAATAATAATATCAAGACCAGAGTGATATATCAATGATCAAATATGGTTTGGAAACTGTAAATCTTAGAAGATAAAAACCCTTTGGTTATGATATTGCTTCTGGAAATGTTTATAGTAACAGAGTTGGAAGGGACCTTGGAGATCATTTAGTCCAACCCCCTGCTCATGCAGGAGACCTGTACTAGGGATTCAAACCGCTGAACATATGAAGTATAGACTTTTATAGACTTATGTTAATATGTGAACTGAAGAAATTTATTTACTTCTTCATTTATATCCCATCTTTTTAATATATAAATAATTCAAGGCAGCACACATATACAGTATAACATTCCCTCTTCTTCCTTCTATTTTTCTCATAGGAGAAAAACCCCCGTGAGGGTTGGGCTTGTCCAATGTCACCCATCCCGCTTTCATGCCTAAGGCGGGACTAGAACTCAACATCTCCTGATGATTGGCCCAAAGTCACCCAGCTGGCTTCCATTCCTAAAGTGGGACTAGAACTCACAGTCTCTTATTTAGAGACCTACTTCCAGATTAACAAAGTTGGAAGGGACCTTGTAGGTCATCTAGTCCAACCCCTCACCCAAAATCACCCAGCTGGCTTCCATGCCTAACATGGGATTAGAACTCAGAGTCTCCTGGTTTATAGCCTGAAGCCTCGCTCCTTCTCCCCAATTTCTATCCTATCCTTCTTCGAATTAAAGCCCTCTGAGATCAGTGAGACCTAGTCCTTCCCAACATCTGGAAATATCGGTTAGAACAATCTCACCTTTCCTCCAAACTCTTTTCTCTCCACTCTCTCCTTACCTAAATCATGTACTGGCAACGCTAACTACCTTGCAGATGAGTCTTCAAGGATAAACAAAGTTTATTCAGCTGCTAAAAATTTCTTGACCACACCCAAGTGTGATAAAAGGTAAGTTATTCATGTATTGGTCCAAGCCTTTTATCGGCAAAACTATCTACTGTCTTCTTCCCCATTTGTAATTAGATTTTGAATCATAATGTATGGGTAGGTAGCCACGTCAAGCCAATGAGTCAGCAGATGGGGCCTCCCATTAAATGCACATTACGAGAGAGATGTTACCCGTCTGAATAAACTACCTCTGAACTTCCTCAAGTTGTGTACATTTTAGGTCAAGGATGTAACTCAGAGCCTCCCTAGATTCCAGACACCAAATTGCGATCATTAATGGAACAGAAGAGGAAACGCTATTAAGAATCCAGGGAGTAATCATTTAAACTGTCATTTAGTTGACGTTTAATATATATTTAGCCTTTGACCAAGCCGTCTCGTCTGCTGGCCCCACTTAATCTTGAAGCACCGCTTTTAGCTAAATGCAGCTCTCAGCTCGTGAAAAAAATGATTAATTTCTGGTGGCTTTTACCCAGAGCTTTCATTGCCATCTATTCAAGGAACAGGAGCGTTTTAGCCCATTCAGGTTTGCCTAACCCTCCCTTGCTCTTTCACTCTTCATTCTCAAGTACCAGCCTGCTGCAGGAAATCCACTCTTACTCACACTTAATAACGATTATAAACAAAAAGCAGATTTCCAACTCATTTCTTCTTCAAGGGGCCTTCAAAGCAACTAAGCAAGAAGTTATGCATGGCACCCAGACTGACCTCCCTTTCCCCTCCGATTCTCAAGAACGCGTTTCTTTGCTGGAATTTCAGCATTTCGGTATCTAAGTGCTCAGTCAGGTCTGGTTCTACACAATGGCTTAAACATCGCTTGACCCGCCATAGAGCTGATCAAATCAAAGATAAACATGTCCTCAAGTTGAGTTCAACCCCTTGATGATTTCACGGACCCAACCAAAACACTTTCATAACCATAAGTTTATTTGTCAAGCATATATAAGATAACAGGTAAAAGTATAAACATAATTTTAATACATGAAAAGAGTAAGTAAAAAGGAATATTAGGACAGGGACGGAAGGCACGCTGGTGCACTTATGCATGCCC